GTGTAACATTTCCGTCACATGCTTGAGGTATTCGGCCAATCACAACGCACTGGATAGCTGGCCAATCACAGCACATCTCGCTTTTCAGACCGATGAGCTTTGTAAAAATCGACGCGTTTTAGAAAGGCGGGGCATAGAGGAGAACACATTTCATTACACCAAATACACAAAATAATGTTCTTTTTAGCAACATCATATGACCCCTTTAATAATATATATCCGGTCGTCCCTCTCAGTGAATTTTTCCATGGTAAAATCCAACCTGCAGTGTTTCACTAAATGTTGGTGAGAATCCTCACGCTCATCATCTGCCACCTCTGCAGATAAGCTAGTAACGTAGTGTAATTTGGTGACACAAAGAGCGAAAATTAGACAGTGGAACACTTTTTATTGTGGTTTACCAGCGGAGACAACGGGAAAATCAGTACCTGTACAGTAAAAAAAACAGAAAAGGTCTGAAGCTGACATAGACAGAAAATAAACATTGGTACGGCATACACAAGATGGAAAGGGGCCATTAAACTTTGGTGAAAATTATAAAAAATGCTGGCGGTAGCTGGCAACTTAAAAAAAAAAAAAAAAAAAAAAAAAATGCTGACTGGGAAAGAGCTATGCGCACAGTTGAGACCTGAACAGCACACGTTGATATCTGCGTTTAAACTAAACTCATTTAAGCTTTGCCAGTTTAAACATTTAAGAGCCAGAGGACGCGCAAGCCCGCGCCTCAGAACGCGTGCAAATATTAAGCTCTCTCTGAAGTATTGTTGGACCAGTCTCTAAAACTCACTAGTATCATATATCGTACATAAAACTCGGAGACGCTCATGCTGATCCATGTCGATAGGTGGCAGTGCATCTCCTAACATCATTGTGGTATCGGTACATAAACTACACAAAGAACAGCAATGCTAAAGCTAACTAAAGAACTTCTGAATGCACCTTTAAGAGGGTTAACATTATTTACAGAGAAACACATTCTTTAGAAATCATTTGGAACACCAAAACAATTAAATACGTCAACTGCATTCAGTAAATGTTTATCTCATAAGTTAGCACATTACCTTTGGCGGCCCTAATTTTGATGTATTGCTTTGTGTATAGTAGACGGTACGGTGAACAGCAGCACCACTGCCTCCCAGTCATCCTCTATTAACGACATCTCGTCCATGTCGACGGAGCAGACATTGGCCTCAGACACTGACAGCTCCTGCATCGACACCCTCACAGGACCGTTAGAGGAGTGACTTCCACCTCCCCCGTATCCACGCCTGTGTGGGCCATGCTGTGGTCTTGACTGAAGAGATCTGTGGGTGCACGTTCATACAGCTTCAAGATTACACTCGTAATCCTTCACTCTTGCTTTTAAGGGGCTGTTTTTCCCTCTGACGCATCTTACATATACAGATATTTGTGTAATATTAGCCTTTAGACAGGTCTGTTGTGGCTAAAGCTCAGATTGCACACCAACAGCGACTTAATTCTGTCGCGTTTCATCAAAAATCTTTTTGTTTAACTGCATCTTCACAGTTTTATTTTAGATTTTTAAAATAACTCCGTTTATAAATGGGCAAATAATAGGTTTATGCTTTAATGCATTCACATTTCACTTCATATAAACAAATATTAATTCATCTAGTGGTGTTATTGCAGCAGCATGTGTAATATCTGGATTTATCCCTGTCATTTATGTCCTCTCTCTCTGTGCGATGTAGCTTTTATTACCATTAATTTCATCACCTAAAAGAAGCACAGATATAAATTATTGGACAACTTTATAGCTAGTCAGCCCCTTTGGAACGAGTTCCTGTTTCAAGTATTGCTGCATGATATTAACAAAGAACACTTACTAGACAGACAATGTAACTACAGATCACTGAAATATGTCTAAACGCACCTAGAAACAGAATAATGGTGCCTGCCTCTGTACATAGTCACCATACCCCCATTTTAAAAGAGAACTTGATGCTTTTCAATTGGTTAGGGTGTAGTCATGTGTATATATACGTACATAGATTTTGTGTAAATGTTTTGTCAGTTTTTCTTTCTTTATGCTGTGGAAAGTATTTTGCAGCTTCTGAATATGCTTTAGCATATGCACTGTAAAACAAAACAATGTAGATGGAACTTGAAATCGATTTAAAAAGAAAATTGCACATAGACGTTTAAAAGTGATCATATTCTGTTTAAAATGCACAAAAACTTTCATCTAGATATCAATTGGAAATTTATGGATGCAACATCTTAATCAAAGCCCTGTTCCTCATTCCAAGAGTCTCTTGTAAGATTGTACATTTAATTGCATGAGCTAATGCAAACCATTGCCTTTTTTAATCTTCTCCAACTTGAAAAGCCCATAAGAATGTTGTACAAAGTAAATGCATGGTTTCTTTCGGTCTTTCTTTTTTCTTTTTTAATTTGTCAGCAGATTATTTTTTCAGTTTCCTCTTCTTGAAGATGTCCGTTCAGTGAAACACTGAAGGATTTTCATGTTTGTATGGATTATCAAGGCCATATAATTTCATTTCCTTTATACATGTCTCTATAGCATTAGGTTACTGCTTGCAGACTTGCGATTCAGTGATGGTACTGTGGGTAACCATGCAGTTACAGGCCTGTTTTGGACTGTGATTCTTTAACAGTATATTCAGGATGGAAACCCACCCATTCATCAGTTTCGTAAACCTTTCTGCTTTCTTTTCTTTCCAGTGTTGTAGATATGTATGATGATGTGTCCTGTACTCTACATTCATTTTTATGCATGATACAACAAGCCCTCTTCATCCCAGACTTGAGGACATTGCGGAAACCTGTCCTCTGGTTGTAGAAGGTGATTGGAGAGACTGTGGAGGATCATATGAGTGAATTGTTGAGTTTGTGTGCCTCCAAGCTCTTCTGACAGACTGAAACGGGAATATCAGTAGATAGATCCTTCACTGATGGACAGGACTGGAGAATGAACTTAGCATCACCATAATTTTCATGCCTTAAGCTTCTCACTATAAGCGTCTCTATAGCTAGGCCTGGAGATCCCAAAATGATTGATGGTAATGTACCTACAATCAAGTTCTTTTTCAGCAGGCTGGATTGTTTGCTACTACGATGCCACTTTGTCTGTTTTCTCAAACATCACATTTCTTGGTCTCCTTGGGCTTGTGAGATTTCATTTGGTGCTTCACCTTACTGTTTGCACAGTAATAATGTATTTCAACAACGCAATAGTGCATTGTGTTCCATTTTCATTTTGGAGCTCTTGTACATTAGTTTCGCTGGTGTGGACTCTGATTGATTCCTGTTATGAACACTAGTGATGACATTGAGACCTTCAAGACAACCAACAAAGCTGGCTCACACTTTCTCAAGGGCTTACTTTGTCTTCTTTTAGGTGTCTGTTTCCCTTGGGGGAGAGGGTGTGTGTTTGTGAACAACAGTGTTCTTGTCGCTGACAATCTGTCACTAGAGGTGGAATCAGTAATGACTTGAAGAATTATCCACTTTTTAGATATTCATTTACCTCTCAGACTATCTTCCTAAAGGCCAATTCACTCTGCACTAATAGATGATGACAGCCAACCGATTACAGTATGTCACTTCTCAGACATTCCACCCCCCGACAAACACAGATTTAATGTTCAGTTGGCGAAAACAAGCACTGACCAATGGTAACCGACACCGACAGGGGTAACACGCTGATCCGACAAATGTGTGTGGTTGTCATGTCTGTCATGCAGTGTGAGTTGGCCTTAAGAACAGTTCTCATGGTCATCAATCAAAATCTCAGTCAAATCCTGTAAAAGGAATAGATATCTAACTGCTCTGTGCTAGTAATGTCTGTTTAGCTTTCATGTGTTTTGTATTGTTGTGCTACATAGGGGTGCCCCGTCAGTGGGCTATGATGGGAGTTACCCAAATCTCAAACCTGTCTGAAACATATGCAAAACCTTAAATGATCCTCTATCTACAATAATAGAGTGACACTTCTTTTCTCTGTGAAAATAAAAAATAAAAATAAAAGAAATGAAACATCTGTAATGACTGGCCAAATAAAAAGCTCAAAGTACTGTTTGTTTTGGTTGTTTTATGTTTTATTTCATATGGTAAAAATGCATTCAGTGTATGAACAGTTTGTTTGTGTGCAAGGTATGACTGTCTTGTGTTACAAAATGTACAGTGACCCAGGGCAGAGACTTTTTAAGTCTGAGCGCGTTTGTCTTAAGAGCATCCCTAGGGTCTAGTTTTCATTAGAATCTCTTTTCTCAAATATGGCATCCATGCTTACTAGACATCATGAAATTTTATCCTACTTTGGGTCATTCCATTGCCTTTGATCACTTAAATGGCAAAAAATAAATAAATAAAAAATTGCCTTTAATATTATTTTGAACATGCTGGTCTGCACAGTCGTTTAGGCAACAGAACTGTACTAGAAAGTGGGGCCATGGTTTCCCTCAGGAATGCATCCTCATTTCTACAGCCCTGAAACAGACTCCTGTTTTTAACAGCTATTACTTTAATGTTGGTGATTCCCAACCCTGGTCTTGGAGTACCTCTAACACTGAACATGTTTTATGTCTCCCTAATTCAGCTCATTAGTTTGTTGGTAGAAATTCCCAGATGGAGGTATCAGATAAGAAAGACATCAATAATTTATGCTATTTTGAAACCTTAATATGCTGCACATGGATGTTTCAAAAACTCTGAACAATGCGACTGGTTTTCCGGGCCTCTGCCTTAAGCTCGCCAAATGTTTTGAAGAACTGCTCCATTTCCTGTTGCAGAGTGGCGTTCCGTCTATCAGCATCTGCACGGGCTCGCTCTACATTTCTCATCTTGATCTCAGCCACACTGACCCAGCGCCGCTGCTGCTGCAGAGTTGAGCGCAGCCCTGCAACTTCCCCATGAAGTACCTTGTTCCTCTGCTCCAGCCTGGAGACAGAGAATGGGGTAAACATACTGTGTTCAGGTACACTTATTTATCAATCCAGTGTTTCTCAACCCTGTACATTGCACCAACACTGCACATTTTCGAACTCTGATCAAACACACCTGATTCAACTCGTCGGCTTGTTAGAGACTCAGACCTGAAAAGTAAGGTTACAGAATGTATACTGTTGGTGTGCATTCAGGAACAGGGTTGGGGAAAACTGCATTAATGCAGGGGTAGCCAACCCTGCTACTGGAGAGCTACCGCCCTGCACCATTCAGATCAAATAATGCTCCAACATTTATCTAATTGCTCACTTACAGAATTTAGTTTAAAGGCTGAACCTGTTTTTCAGTCTGTTTTACCATCACTGTTATTCCATTACCATTACACTGCTTTTTTGCAACCCCTGGTATCAGGTACCAAGACTACTGACGAAGTGATCTTACCTGTTGATTTTTGCCTCATACTCTGCTTTTTGCTTGGTCATCTGTTGACGAAGCCCTGCAACAAGGCACTGCATTGCGTGGGAAGCTGGAAAGCCCAGGGGCTCTTGGGGAGCATTTGGCAAAAAGACTTCGCTGCTGCCAGTGCTTAAAGGTGCATCTGTAGGAGCAGAGGATGAGGCAGGGGAGTTAGGACGAAGTTCTTCCTCTCTAGAGTCCATTCTGAATGAGGGGAACTGTCCTGGGGAGACATTGCAAGGGCTTGCAGTTCCACCGCTCCCACAGCCCCCATCCAAAGGCACAATCTCACAGGAGGACCAAGAGCTGCTGCTCTCAGCCACACTGGCAGTACCTTTGGCCTCCCTGTCTTCTATATATTGCTCCCCCTGCTCCTCAGTAACTATGTTGTCATAGATAGATAAGGTACTATCCTGGGCTTCACTGCTGCCTCTATCCTGGGATTCACTTTCCCCTAACGCTTTCTCTGGTCCCCAGCTGGGTTCTTCCATGTCAGGCCAGCTCCTTGACTGCATAGATATTTGAACTCCAGCTTCCAGTACTTTGCTCAAAGAAGAACAGGCAGGTGGTGGGGTGGAGGGTGGAGGTACATGTCTTTTATGGAGAGATTCTTGTGCTGAGCTGTGCTGACTGTAGTTGTCGTAAATCAGAGCAGAGCTGGTTGGTGAAGAGTTCTCTTGAAGTTGTTGCTCTGTCTCTGAAAAATGGGTAATGTTTTTGTCACAAGGGCTTTGAAAAGACCCTCTCCTCTCTGTGTTTAGTAGAGAGTGTTTATGTGGACAGGCAACAGTCTGATCTGGAAGGACCATGTGATCTTTGCTCAACAGAGGTTCCCTCAGGTGGGCAGGTGGTTCGTGCACCCATTCCCCAAGGTGACTGTGTCTTTGTATGGGGAGGGCAGCTTGTAAAGATGTTTCAGGAGGGTTGCAGTTCTCTCGGGAGAAGAGCAAGCTGTGCTCACGGATCAGTTCAGACATTAGATGTTGCACAACTGCTGCCCCTAGTAAAGGAGAGAGGAATGTGTAAGTGCACAGTTCACAGATTTGTGGCAAACAGCAACATATAACCTCACAAGCATTACATAGAGTACATACCAATAGTCAACATTTGAATTGGATCAAAAAAGTTCATCAAAGTTGTCATAAGACAAGAACACATTTTGGTTTTAGGACAACTTTGATGAAAGGTTTTGATCAAATTCAAATGTTGACTACTGTA